GTCCTTCAGGTTTCTCCTTGGTTCTTCATACTCTTTGGTCATAAACCATTGAGCTGTAGGTTTAAATAGAAAAAAAATGTTTTAGTACTAGATGGGGAGTAGGAGGCGATGAAGGAGGCCAAGAGGAAGGGGATCTGAAGTACTCCATCTTGGGCATATGAAAGTACCTTCTGCAAATGCCTACAGTTTGCCTTTTTCCTTCTTTCCTTCTCTTCCCATAAATGCAAAGAGAATGACAAGGAACTTTCAATTTGCAATCTTAAATATAAGATACTTTTTAAAAATTATTGTTTATTTGCTGTTTATTGCCTGGGGCCTGTCTTGTAGGCCCAGTGTTATCTGTCTTCTCTTTCTTTCTCTTTCTCTTTCCCCCTACCCCCTCCTAGTTTTACCTGTGTACTGAGTACATTGATGACTATATAGCAGTCTTATTGTAGAGAATTGAGATTATGTTTAGAGAATTTTGCATCATATTTTCTTTTTCTTTCCTGATGTGTTAGTCTTCAGCCACCATTCTCTCCGTTATCTAGGATCAATAATTTATCTTTAATTAATTTGTCTTTCATACTTCATATTCAATCAGTGTTCCAAAACTTGTTCAGTCTCTTCTTTATATTCTGTACTGCTATTTTTTTTAGTCCAGGTGTCTGTATGCTGTCTGAGATTACAGTGGCTTTGTCAGAGACATTGATTCTAGTTCTTACGATATTCTAGTTTATGTCTTAAAAATTATTTTATTAGCATTCTTCTTTTACTAAATATCTGCCCTATTTTTAGGAAGTATCTGGAACCTAATTCTACCCTACCTCAAATAATCTTACTTTCTACTATTCTCTAACGCAGGAGAGGGGAATTCTAATTTACTTAGTATTATTGCTCTTGTGCCAGGCAGGCACTGTGCTAGGTACTTAGCATGTATTACAACTTTAAATCCTTATAAAGTTGATATTCTCGTTTCCTTTTTATATATTCTGAGGTTCATAGAAGTTATGTAACTTGTCTAAAGTCACAGCTAGCATGGATGGAATAGGAATTTAAATTATCTCTCTAATCACCCAAAGCCTACGTTTTCTTTTTTCCATCTTTCTGGAAAAAAGGAAGTGGACTTTTTGTCAGGATGGCTTTTGTTAGTCTCCCATGATATTATTATCATTATTTTCTTTTTTATTAAATCATAGTTGTATACATTAATGCAATCATGGGTTACAATGTGCTGGTTTTATATATAATTTGAAATATTTTCGTCAAACTGATTAACATAGCCTTCACAGCATTTTCTTAGTTATTGTGTTCAGACATTTATATTCTAGATATAGTAAATTTCATATGTACCTTTGTAAGATGTACTGTAGGTGTGGTCCCGCTAATTATCCTCCCTCTACGCATCCTCCCCCCACCCTCCCTCTCCCCTTTCCCCATATTCTTGGGCTATAATTGGGTTATAGCTTTCATAAGAAAGCTATAAACTGGTTTCATAGTAGGGCTGAATACATTGGATACTTTCTCTTCCAAAGTATCTGAGATACTTTGCTAAGAAGAATATGTTCCAGCTCCATCCATGTAAACATGAAAGAGGTAAAGTCTCCATCTTTCTTTAAAGCTGCATAATAATATTCCATGGTATACATATACCACAATTTATTAATCCATTCGTGGGTTGATGGGCACTTGGGCTTCTTCCATGATTTAGCAATTATGAATTGGGCTGCAATAAACCTACCGATACAGATATCTCTGTTATAACGTGATTTTTGGTCTTCTGGATATATACTTAGTAGAGGAATTGTAGGATCGAATGGCAGGTCTATTTTTAGATCCCTAAGTGTTCTCTAAACATCTTCCCAAAAGGAATGTATTAGTTTGCATTCCCACCAGCAATGTAGAAGTGTTCCCTTTTCTCCACATCCATGCTAACATCTCTGGTTTTGGGATTTTGTGATGTGGGCTAATCTCACTAGATTTAGATGATACCTCAAAGTAGTTTTGATTTGCATTTCCCTGATGATTAAGGATGATGAGCATTACTATTATTAATATCATATCATTGTTCATATGGCTCGCCCTTCCTCCAATTCTTCTATTTCTCTTTCTACTTATTCAAATTGTATCTATCCTTTAAGTACCAAGTTAAATTCATTTTTTCCTATATGCTTCTCTGAATTATATTTATTGTTGATCTTTTTTTCTCACCTTCTGTGGCTCTTTTAATGACTTATTCTGTTTCCTGTAGTTCTTATGTATTAGTGTTATGTCCCCAACTGGACAATAAGAATTCTTCAAGAGGACAAAAGTCAAATTTATGCTGCTTCTTTAAAGCTCCACATGTAGAGCACAGACCACAGAAGATTCTCAGTAAATCTTTATAGGCCAATTGATCATGAAGTGAATTTTTGTTGTCAGAAATTTAAATTATTTTTGTCTATTTGCAGTTCCTTATGTACTCGTTTGTGTTAGTAATTAAAAGATAAATTTAAGCTCTGAACTGCTGCATTTAGAATCAAATGTTGAGAGAGCCATATTTTTCACTTTAAAAGTTCTGGTTCAGCACCCATAGCTCAGTGGTTAGGGTGCTAGCCACATACACCGAGGTTGGTGGGTTCGAATCCGGCCCGGGCCTGCTAAACAGCAATGACAGCTGCAACAAAAAAGTAGCCAGGCATTGTAGTGGGCATCTGTAGTCCCAGCTACTTGAGAGGCTGAGACAAGAGAATTGCTTCAGCCCAAGAGTTAGAGGTTGCTATGAGCTGTGACATCACAGCACTCTACCGAGGGCAACATAGTGAGACTCTGTCTCAAAAAAAAAAAAATTATGTTGCATTCAATTTTTATCTTGCTATTATAGTTAGCTACACTAGGATTTAAATTTTGTGAGTTAATATGGAAAATAATAATGGTATCGTTCAAGACTCCCAATTTTCTAACCTAGTCTCCGGCTCACTAACTTATTTTTGGAATATCAGTTAGAATGTATGATATATCAGAAAAATCTTAAATGCTATTTCCATAATTGAAATTTAAGCAATATGGATTAAAAGTGTACTGGCAAATTAAACCAGCTTTATTTGGAATAAACTCAAGTAGTTTTATGACTTTTTCTATGTTAGGCTGACTACTATCCCTTAATTATAGCAAAATATTTTGTACTCAGTTTGCTTTGGGTTTAAGTGGAGAAATTGATGTAAACTTCCTTTTTTGTGTAACACTAACATGAATCCAATTTTTTAACCTTATGACTGTTATTTTTGAATACTCGTTGTACAATAAACCTAAAAGGTTAATTGGTTGCTTTTTCCTGCTCATTACTATTTTGGATTGAATTAATTCTTCACTTCTTTTCAGTTATTCCATTAAAAATTATGTATAGTTTACTTTGAGCGTAATCAGATTTTCTAGTCCTACATACTCATATTTACCATTTAAATTCTAAATGTATTTTTCTGAGTTAATATTTTTGTGTATAAGCCAAAAGATTTCTTTTTCCCTCCCTTTTATTATCTCAAGACAGGATGAGGTGAGATGCTTTCAAAGAGATGACTTTGGTTAGGAATAAAAAGTTTCATAATTCATGGTGTCCAGTTTTAACATTTTTAAAGTTATCCCTTAGAAACAGATCACTGCTTTTTGGGGTTAGTTTCTGGTTTAGTTCAGATTTTTTTTATCTTTAAGTGACGGAAACAATTCTGATTGACTTAGGTAAAAAATAATGTGTTGGAAGTCTACTAAGTGATTTATTGATTTGAATTAAAAACTAAACAATAAGATCTTGGGAAAGGTGGAAACTAAGAAATTTTGAGGCACTCAGAGGCATGAGTCAGTATATGTCACTTTTCTAATGAGGGATGTCATTAGAGATTAAATCCCACTTGGCTTGTTTTTGTTCTCAAAATTTAATTCCTGGGTGAGTAAAAAAAGTATTGTATCACTTGCCCCCACCTTTTGTTGTTGATGATGATAGCTTTGGTGTTTGTGTGGGTATAGTGGTGGGTAGTATACAGAGCTATGTGATTGGCTGTACTGCTGGAACCCTGGGACATGGAAATGAAGTGTGGTTATTCAAAGTAATAAAGGAAGGGAGTGCAGACAGACAAAAACACTAGAGATTTCTACTAAATTTATACTTTGTAATCTAGTATGCATAGACACAAATGTGCACAAATCCAGAATATTTATCCTTATTGTGTTGCATCTACTCAGCTTCAAATGTACTCACCTTATCTCCACTAGTGGACAACTCAAAGTCCCATCCAACTACTGCAGCACTTCTATCTGGCAACTAGGACAAGAAAGTCTTATGGAGAGTAATTTGGAGGGTGGTAGAAGCTGGATTATAAGAAGTAAGATGAGATGGAGTGGTAGAAAGAGGAACCAGTGGATATAGATCACAAATTAAAGAACAATTTTTTATATAATTAGATGACTTAAAAGTAAGGCAACCATGTAGTTTATCATTTTGAGAGTAAAATAATGTTTTATATATAGAACATTATGCTGGGTATTCTGTAACATGCAGTATATGCCAGGATATTTGGTCACCTTATTTAAAGGTTCTGTACTTAAGGATTTTTCTATATTCAGAAAATGGTATGTTAGGTTTAATAATGTAGTACTTATGAGTTATTTTTTAATATTCTTATATTTTGAATATTAATTATTATTACAGTTTTCAGTGTCCTAAAGTGTGTAGCGTCTCTGACATCTAATATATTTGTTGATTTATTTATGAGATTTAAAAAACTAAAGTAAAAAATAAGGTATTGTCATATTCAACAGATTATTAACAATGAAGGGGGAAATATAAATCTCAAAATTGGAAACTTACGCTTTGATATCTTCTGTAAAATGTAGGCTTCCCTAATTTGGCATGATTAGATAACTTTGGAGAATGCATACTGTTTTTTAACACATCTGCTTTCTTTTCCTCAATATATTGTCACTTGTCATGGTTACTTAGTGTGATATAATGCTATCATCTGTTTATTGTGAAACTTTTTTTTTTTTAGCTGACATCTGAAATGTTTGAAGCAGATCTTGAGAAGGCACTGTTGCTAAGTAAATTAGAATATGAAGAGCACAAAAAGGTATTTACACATTTATTGACTTAGATATTTTAGAAGTTTATTTAGGTAGTTTAGAAACATTAGGACCAAACTTCATGAACTTTACATAGAAGTTATTTTTTAAAGTTTGTCTTAAAAATTTATCATTATGGCTCGGCGCCTGTGGCTCAACCAGCTAGGGCGCCAGCCACGTACACCTAGGGTGGTGGGTTCGAATCCCCAGCCCGGACCGCAGAAACAACAATGACGGCTGCAACCAAAAAAAAAAAAAA